TAGTAGCCAATCAGCAGTAGGGGGCGTGTCCACTCATGATGGGGGAGGAGAGTGAGCAAGAAAGACTATAGGAAGAGAGATGGCTGAGAGACATTACAAATGTCTATTTGAGTGGATGCCCCTTGGACAACGTTTAAGGGCAATTAAATGCTCTACAAATCGCCACAAATGTACTTTTGTGCCTGAAGCAATACGATTAATAAACTAGGTGATGTTTTTACTTATTTATATATATATATATATATATATATATATATATATATCAGTGGCGGCTGCTGGTCTTTCAAAGAGGGGAAGCTCTTCTTTTTTCTTCTTTTTTTTTAAACTCGACTGTCAGGTGTGGGGATGGTGAAAAGAGCGAGGACTCGATGGGCTTTATTTTATTGATAAAAACAACAAAAAAAAACAAGGGGAATAAATTGGGAGCAAAAAAGGCAGGTAACGAGGGAGGACAGGTGGGGCAAAATAACTAATAATCAGGAAACAAGATGGGAGTCACAATGACAGGAAAGCACATATGGCACAACAAACACATGACAAGCACAAGCCATGTGCTCATACCAAACATGACAAAAACACATGACCAATAAAACAAATTAAAAAGCAATTGTGCTCACACAAAATGAGACCTGAAGAACGATGAGAACACTCATAAGACACGTGTTCACACAGAACATGACAACATGAAAGCACACAGCTAGTTTAAAACACAAGCTACACAGCACAAGACAAAACATGACATGAAAGCACGCGGCCGATGTAAACACAAACCATGTGCCACACAATACACAACACACTGAACAGAGCGAACACGACAAGACAGAACGCTAACGTTACGCATGAGTACGACCATAACATAAGGTCATCCTGTGCACTCACAACCGAAAACAAATACGCGGAGAATGCATGTCCGAATCCCAACACAAAAGTGAAACCAAACTAGACAGATGTGCCGTGATTCAAACACCACGCCCGCACATGTAACAAGACACCTGACATCGACGGAAGAAATGTGGTAATTAGGTTGAACTGTGAAATATCTGATGAAAATTGCAAATACTAAGAAATATGTTACAGTAGTTCATCTTCGAGTAAAATACACACAAAATTCGCGACGAGACTGAGCACGAAGTCTTTAAACTAGCTTCCGCGTCAGCGATTTTTTTATTGGGTGAAATCACTGTCAATCAAAAGGAGATGCAATCCTCCAATCATCACGCGGACGCCCGGACGCCAGGCCAGCCCACTTCCCTATTAACCCCAGAGACGCCCGGCGTCCGTGGGCGGGACATAATCGCAGCATTTATCCAATGACCGTCTACTTTAACAGCACTGAAAAAAACTGTTCAAAGCAGCCCCATTGAAGTCAATGGACGCCGAGCTTCAACGGGGAAATGCCATAGGAAAACGCATGCACTGTGACGGGCTACAGGAGGCGCTGCATGAGAAGGAGATCAAGTCAGCCGACCTGCTATTTGTTGCTTATTCTGAACGAACTCGTCTTCGAGATTACCGTGTTCTAACGCATTTTTACTCATTAAAATGTTAACACAATAGTACACATTTGATCATTATTTGTTTGACATTATAGGGGAAGCTGGGCTTCCCTTGCAGTCTTAAAGAAATCTCCACTGATATATATATATATATATATATATATATATATATATATATATATATATATTATGTATTGAATGTATGTGCTAAGTGTTTTCATGTGAGGCACCATGTGAGTTCAAACTAATTGCCCCACGGGGATTAATAAAGCTTTAAACTAAACTAAAAGAGAGTATAAAACAAATTCACAAACTGTCTTTTCATCCACACAGTTTCAGATTTTTTTTGTAGTGCTGTCCGAATGTATAGTGATGATTATTATACCCTACTCCACTCAATGTATCCCAGAATGCATTTTGAAAAGTAGTGTACAACTGATGGTCAAGCCCTACATACCGGCATCATGCATTGCGCTGATCGTATCACGGATGGATGACAAGCGGAGCAGCGCGACAATACAAATTTGTCATACAAATGTAAGTTAGGTTCTGTCTCGTTTAACTTATGATATGTAGTAGTTTTACAATTTTGTCAGACATGTATAAATTGTTTGTAAGCACGCACATGTATAAATAGTGGGACAGCAATGAAATAATCAAAAAGTGGTGTTTCTATTTTGCTGGTGAGCTCACTATATAGTGCTCTACTCCCTACCCCCTACATAGGGAGTAGGGATTAGTGGTTTGAGTGGAGATTTCGGACACAGCCATTGTTATCTGCAGCTGATGTGATGCTGGTGACTTACAGCCAACTCTTGCTAGTACAGTATATACTCTTGCATACAGCATGTTCATTTTTTTGTTCTTCCTTGTCGTTCATTATCTTCACTTTATTTTTCGCAAAGCATTATTTTGCTTCACTTCAGCTATGATAAATAGACCTTTAGTCTTGCATTGCATGAGTTTTTGGAATCGAGTTGATTCCAAATCAACAACAGTTTCTTATAAATTGCTTACAGCACCTTTAATGAAAAAAACCCCCCCGCAGATGCCACATTATTTCTTTCAAAAGTCTAACATAATTTAAAATGCAAAGTGTTTCATCATTCACAAGTATAAATCTCTATCCAATCACACATAGACATTAGAAGAACAACACAATGTCTCTTCACTCATCAGATATCAATAACTGATAAGAAGAAAAAGAGAACTGAAGAGCCCAACAAATGCAATGAAAACCACTTCAATAAAGCAAATGCATGCACTAATTAATTCATGCAATAAATCTTGCTAGCTGCAAATGATCATATTCATAAATTGATGGCAAAGTCTCACTGTTGTTGAATGATTTTCATTATATTTTTGAAACGCGAGGATTACAATGAGCCATCAAGTCATTTCAATAAATTATGTTTTACTGCAACACATTCAAACCTCTGGGTGGATGGACATGTTACTGCATGCCTTATTAATTACTAATTAGCCATGAACCTGTCAAAATTAGTCACGTTACATGTCAAAAATGGTAGAAAAACGTTTAAAGAGGAATAAGTCAGGTAATGATCATGAATAGGTTCTGGAAGGCAGCTTTAAATACATTGCTAGGTAAAGAGGGCATGTGCTGCTTACCCATTGCTCAGATAGCCTAACCTGTCATTTGAATCAAAGGCTATAATTAAAAAAAAATTAAAAGAGAGCGTAGGGGATTTGGTTCTGAGACTTGAAACACAACACAAATTACAGCTTATGATGTTAGCAAAGCAATGCGACAACCTAGAATACTCTACAAGTGTCTTTTGCATTTTAGTGCAGATTTATTTAATCTTCAATTAGTGGAAATTTAAACTACTTGAAATCTAGATAAGCAAAATGTCTTTAAACTAAGTTTCAAATGTACTTTTGGAGAAAAAGTTGGATATGCCTGGACTTGGTAACACAACAAGTTAGCTAACAATCAATTAACTTAGCAATCAATTAACAAATTTATAACAATAAAAAAGTAATAACCTTTTTGATGATGACACCAAACAATCAAATCTGATTTTTATTAAACTAGGAAACAAGATTTCCCTCAAATTGTTTTTGTGTCTTGTCACACACATTAACTTTGATTGGTCGGCCAGATGCTGACATCACTTCCACCACTTTCTTTGCTTGATTATCTGGGGTGCGAGATACTTGCTTTGTGTAATTATTGCAAAACATTTATGAACTACAATTTCTTTTGGGTTTTGCATAGAGACAATTCATTGATGGTTGTCTGATGTTGAAGATGGATTTATGATAAAATTAAATATCTCAAGTGCACCTACTTGAAATATGGGACATACAATTTGTACTGTTTTGTGGTTTCTAAATGAAAATAATGTTTTTGATCTTTCAAATACTAAATATCATATGAAAACAACATGACCTGCTTATTAATAACAAGTAGATTAAGTTGTTTGAGAGACAAAACCCCCACAATACCAGTTGACAATGACTTTTGTTACTGTCCTCCTAATATGGGATCTCATTCAAAGAAAGTAAGACGCTTTCAATATATTACGTGACAGAATGGTGACAGATTACCACAAGTTACCACAGTTTTATTTTACAAACAATAACCACAGTAACTATGGCATTTTGGCGGACGCTATTGTTACCATTGTAAATATCTGTAAGGGATCTCTTGTGTCATCATTGTCTAATTAAACTGCTCTTGGGATTACAAAAAACCTCTAAGCTACTCTAATTGACAGGTTTACTTATCTACCATTGATGTTCAATACTGGATGTATTGGATGTCTTTTGATTTCATATCTGTCCTGAAAAATACATTAAAGCATATCCAAGTGGGAAATATAAGGCATGTTGTGATTCATAAATGTTGTGATACAGTATACAAAACCTTTTTAGTGTTGAAAGGTAAATTTGCAACGATTTATCTATTTATAAATAATTATTTTAAAAGTGTTAACATTAACTTAATTAAAAAATAATCAAATAAAGCATATTAAAATATATTGCATATAATATAGGCTATATAGCCTACACACACAGAGAGAGATGTCAATTTTTTTCTCAACCTTTTTTTTTTAAAAAAGTCATTTTATCACGATCATTACCATAGCACACAATACTACGCTACTACCATCAACTACTCATCACTTGATGGTTCTTTATACCAAGATATGCAATAACTTTATAACACACCATGAAACATAGTTTAATTTTTAAAGACGCTTTCAAAAGTGTCTCTAATTGAAGAATCGTCCAAATGCAACACAGCGAACTTGTTTTTGATATGATTTAGCTGAATGGATTGTGTGGTTCATACAGCTGAACCAGAGGCAAGACGAGGCAAGAACAGTGACAGAACGCGCTGCACGCAGATGCTCATCTCGAGACTGGAGTAGGGACAATGCGGGCTCAACCCAGTGCACGACTGTAAGAAACATCTCATAAAAGACCTACAACCACCCCAATGCACAAAGTTACAAGTCATAAGAGTTGAGGACTAACCCGTATCGAACTGGTCTGAAGTTGACGCGCTGAGGCAGGCAGCAAGGAGCAAAGCTGCGATTCTCCACGAATCCATCGCACTTCTGTGTAGGCTATAAGAGATCTGAACACCTTCTCTCCCTCTCTTCTCGCAGGTGAAGTGTGAAGAGTCCAGTCAGGTCAGTGGAGCTGAAGCAGTAAGCAGTTGAATGTCACAGAATCTCGCTGCGCGTTCGCGTTAAGAGCGTATGAACTTTTAGGAAGATCAGCGCTGCCCCCAGACAGACACACACACACATACACACACAAGACAGATAGCAGAAAAAGTCGGGATCCTATTTCAAATCATGTGACAGGAAATCGGGGCAATAGATTCAACCTGCCCTATGCATGGGGACATATACCTGTTGCGCGCTGTGGGATGTCTAGAAATCCAATAGCCATGAGCGAGACGTACAACACAGAGAAAAGAAAAGAATCACTGAAGACTTTTAAATCGGCGATGATTCCAATAGGCTACAGTATGTGACATTGTCAGATAGATAGATAGATAGATAGATAGATAGATAGATAGATAGATAGATAGATAGATAGATAGATAGATAGATAGATAGATAGATAGATAGATAGATAGATAGATAGATAGATAGATAGATAGATAGATAGATAGACTTCAACACTAAAACTTTGCATTACAAAAAGGTTTCATTTGTTAACATTAGTTAATGTATTAACTTACATATTTGTATTAATCTTTCAAAATGTGAATAAAAATACTGTTCATTGTTCAGTGAATGTTAGTTCACAGTGCATTAACTTAAGTTAAAAAAATGCAACTTTTGGTTTGTATAAACGTATTTAATGTTGAAATGAACTAACTGAGAATTATACCATGGTCTGGGTGAATACTCGATTCTGATTGGCTGCTGGGTGTCCGTTAAAAAGTGATAGAGGACACCTAGTAAAGTAGTTCTGGTGAAACTGCCTGTTTACCATTCGAAATGAATAAATAAATGCGCTGCCCACAACGGCTGTGAGTAACCATAGCAACAGGCAGTCACATGCTCTAGCTCTATCATCTAACGTTAGATATTATAGCCTAATACAACAATGAGCGACTTCGTGCTATTTCTTTTAACATTTATGGAGAATATGGCAACTTTGACGACTGGTATGCTGCTGAAGAAAGAAAAAATGTAAATAAAACGGAGGAAATTACACCGCTGCTGCGCTGCTCCATTGAACTCTATTGGTAACGACGTAACTTGCGACCATAGTTGGATAACGATGCTTTCGGGAAACGCACCCCTGAATGAGACCCTGTGGGAGTTTTACGCAGCTGTCCAGACAACCAAGGCAGGAGAAGGCTGAACGTTACAGCGTTTCAAGCCTAAGGAGCCTGAGGCAAATGACCCTCTCTTTGATCTGATTAATTTATTGCCCTCTATAACGTTAAGCGCAAATCGCTGGAGCTCAGAGCTAATTGTTTTTTTATTGTTGTTTGATTAATTGTTTTATGTGTAATAAAAAAAAAAACTATGCCTACCTTTTGTGTTTCATGAAAAAAAAAATACATTTGTGAACCTGAAGGGATACGAGCTAAGCGGACTATAAATATCTCCGGTTGCTAAATAAACAGTCAGTCAAGTTATTATTTGTAAAAACTAGATTTAGCCTAATTAAAATATAAACTAATGTTTTATTTGGCAAGTGACCATGGTATAAGCGGGTTAATGCCCTCCGAGGTGTCCATTGTCAGGTTTTAATGGACTTCGGCGGAGGCAACCGTCCTCCGCTGCGCGTCGGCCGGTTTACGCCTCGCCGTCGTCCATTAAAACCTGACAATGGACACCTCGTCGGGCATTAACCCTTACATACTGTATGTTAAAAAATGTAGTTCAATAGTGTTAACCAAAAAAAAAAACCTTAATGCAAAATGTTTCCATAACAAAAATGAAATGAATGAACAATTAAACAACTGAGAAATTAAATAGGCTTAGGATTTGTAAGCTTTCATTTGGTTCACTTCGTTTGGTTTACAAGTTTTTTAACAACACTATAAAAAAGACATTTGCTAATCAAATTAAACTGACTTAAAAAAAATTAGTTGAGTCTTGTATAATTGCTTAACATTTTGATAAGTTAAAGTAATAGAAAAAAACATGTTGACATAACATGTTGATCATATTTTTTACCGTAAATGCATGTTGAGTTGATATTTACACTATAAGGTAGACATGTTTATACATCGCTTTAACTCATCAAAATAAGTTAAGCAATTTACAACTTTTTTGTATTTCATACAAGAAGATTCAACTTAGTTGAATTAGTTTAAAAATCCAAGTTGGGTGTACTTAACAATTTAAGGCAGCAACTTTATTTTTACAGTGTTTACATAAACATGAGGAATATAACTTAAATGTAAATTTAAAGCTTGTCAGCCTTCTGTGGTAAAAAAAAATTACACTCCTCACTGGAACATAAACCTCATTTCAATGTCATACATTCCAGTCAATAAAACAAGCAGCATCATTTGTGCAGAATGTCTCTCTCTAGTGGGAGAACACATAAATGGAGGATCCATTACCATGCAGGGCATGAGGAGGACAGCAGCCATAACAGGCTTCTTCAGTGACTTCATCCACCGCTGAAATTAAAACGAACTCACCCAAAACCCCAAACGGCTCGGTAAAAATAACACTCGCTGCCTGCTGCCTTTTTTTAAAGTTTGAAATGATTCGGTTGGGTATGAAAGTGACCATAACGGAGTGAATCATCCACAGGATGTTAGGCACACTGCGATACAGAGTTGGCTAGGAAATGTCTTAATTTGTCTACACATGATATGTAAGGGTTGTTTCAGTAAACTTACGAAAACCCAAAAAACACCAAACCAACATAATTAGATTTGTCTTCTGCACCAGCAATTACTTATACTATTAGGACCATTCCATCAACCTAGTCAATACACACACATAAAAGAGCATGTGACTACATCACAATTAGACGGTCGAGTCCTAACAAGTTCCTCAGGTGTATTCCGGGTTGTTAGATGTGTCAGTGACTTCAGCCTTTGTCTGATGTTTGTAAGTGTATAATAATTATATGCATTTAAGAGAGAATGGACACACTCCCTGTCCCTATAATAGTAGATCTACATGATCTCATCTTTTAATGTCAAAAAAGCTGAGAATATACATTGCAATCATTCGCAAAATCTTGGAAACAATGCAAAATGTATGTGTTATGGATTATTTGAGTGTTTAGAGTTAATTTACTTAACATATGACATTTTATAAAGTAGTATTTATAAAAATGTGTTACTTTATAAGTAAACTGTAATCCATTAAAGTAATCTGTAATACATTTAGCCTTTTTATGAATATTGAAGAGGAGTTAAATAATCTTAAAATTTGGCATGCTTTATAGTTTTGTCTTAATTTCCAACAACAAAAGACCTGAGATTTAAGTAGCTAATGCAGACTTTCGAACTTGTTGGAGCATGTTAAAAGCAGTTTCAGGGTTCACTGGAAAGTCCAGAATTATATCATTATACATACTTGCTTTAGACTAAAGCGTGTATGGTTTACACATTCCCCAAGATCTATACAGATTTTCGTGTTAGGGTGGATATTGAAACTGAGGAACCGGGCCAACACCCAAGGTATCTTCCGCAAGGCGGTCTCTCCTTGATTTGACATTGAATCTTTTTATCACTGTCAGTGCGATTATTCCCACTTCACTGTGCTTGTTTTAATTTGATTTATTAAAGACACACTGTGTAACTCTTTTAGTTAATTCTTATTAACTAATTCTTCTCTGTGTCCGAAATCACCCAACTCACTATATAGTGGACTATATAGTGAGCTCGCCATTTTGTAGTGCTGTCCGAATGTATAGGGATGATTATAATACCCTACATAGTCCACTCAATGTATCCCAGAATGCATTTTGAAAAGTAGTGTACAACCGATGGTCACTAACCTAAGCCCTACATACCATCATGCATTGCGCGGATCGTAAAAATAAGTTATAATCATGTGTGGAGTAGCGCAGTATAACAGAAACGGCCAGAAATGACTTTTAGTTTTGAAATTTTGGAGAAATAAGCTCAATATAATGTAATGTATTTATTTTAAAAAATCTATTTAGCCCAGAGATGATGTAATCAACGGCGCCGAGACACGATCGAGTAGTGTCCGAAAGTGGTGTTTCTATTATTCTGGTGAGCTCACTATATAGTGCTCTACTCCCTGCCTCATATATAGGGGGTAGGGAGTAGGGGTTTGAGTGGAGATTTCAGACACAGCATAATATTCACTGGATGGTCATATACCTTTTCACCACTAGATGGGGGTAAAAATCACACAGTGTAGCTTTAAGCAAAATACATGCATGCGCCTACCAACAGCAACCATCTTGTTTGCTTGTGTTTCTGTGAGCCACTGCTGATTAGATAGATAGATAGATAGATAGATAGATAGATAGATAGATAGATAGATAGATAGATAGATAGATAGATAGATAGATAGATAGATAGATAGATAGATAGATAGATAGATAGATAGATAGATAGATAGATAGATAGATAGATAGATAGATAGATAGACGGAGCCCCTCTAGTCCCACTTTGGTAAAAAAAATTAATTATAACTATCTTGTGGCCTTAAGATAGTAACTCGTGGCCTCAAGATAGTTACTCGTGGCCACAAGATAGTAACTCGTGGCCTCAAGATAGTAACTCGTGGCCTCAAGATAGTAACTCGTGGCCACGAGATACTAACTTGTGGCCACGAGATAGTAACTCGTGGCCTCAAGATACTAACTCGTGGCCTCAAGATAGTAACTCGTGGCCACAAGATAGTAACTCGTGGCCTCAAGATAGAGTTACTATCTCGAGGCCACGAGTTACTATCTCGAGGCCACGAGTTACTATCTCGTGGCCACGAGTTACTATCTTGAGGCCACGAGTTACTGTCTTGAGGCCACGAGTTACTGTCTTGTGGCCACGAGTTACTATCTTGAGGCCACGAGTTACTATCTTGAGGCCACGAGTTACTATCTTGAGGCCACGAGTTACTATCTTGTGGCCACGAGTTACTATCTTGAGGCCACGAGTTACTATCTTGAGGCCACGAGTTACTATCTTGTGGCCACGAGTTACTATCTTGTGGCCACGAGTTACTATCTTGAGGCCACGAGTTACTATCTTGAGGCCACGAGTTACTATCTTGAGGCCACGAGTTACTATCTTGAGGCCACGAGTTACTATCTTGAGGCTACGAGTTACTATCTTGAGGCCACGAGTTACTG